GTTGACCAGGATGGTCTCGATCTCTTGACCTCGTGATCCGCCCGCCTCGGCCTCCCAAAGTGCTGGGATTGCGGACGTGAGCCATTGCACCTGGCTTTATTCATTTTTATTTATGTTTGAGACAGGGCCTTGCTCTCTCGCCCAGGCTGGAGGGAAATAGCTCGATCACAGCTCACTGCAACCCCAACCTTCCAGGCTCAAGGGATTCTCCTGCCTCAGTCTCTTGGGTAGCTGGGACCACGGGCACCTGCCACCACACCCAGCTAATATTTTTATTTATTTATTTATTTATTTATTTTTGCAGAGACAGGGGTCTCACTGTGTTGCCCAGGCTGGTCTCAAACTCCTGAGCTCAAGCGATCTGGATGCCTTGTCCTCCCGAAGCGCTGGGATCACAGGTGGGAGTCTCTGTGCCCGGACATTTTTAACTTCCCTTTAAAAGCCAGGTTCTGGGGCCACTGGACACACATCTCACCAAGGACTGGGCAGGGAAGAGGTGGCAGGGGTGCCAACGTGCCCAGAGGCAGTGGTAAGAGAGTAGGAGGGGACGGAGGTCCTGATTCCGGTTGGCTCTAGTCCCCATCCAAATATCATCCACAGAAATCCCCATAATTCCCACCTGTGGGGAGAGGGACCAGGTGGGAGGCGACTGAATCACGGGGGCGGTTCCCTGATGCTGTTCTGATAGGAGTGAGGTCTCACGAGATCTGGTGGTTTTATAAGGCAGTTCCCCTGCTCCTGCTCACACTCTCGAGGCTGCACCCGGAAAGGTGTGTCTGTTTCTATCTCCACCGCGATGCTACGTTTCCTGAGGCCTCCCCAGCCACGCGGAACTGTGAGTCCACCAAACTTCCTTTATTTATAAATTACCCAAGCTTGGCCAAGCGCGGTGGCTCACGCCTGTAATCCCAGCACTTTGGGAGGCCGAGGCGGGTGGATCACGAGGTCAAGAGATCGAGACCATCCTGGTCAACATGGTGAAACCCCGTCTCTACTAAAAATACAAAAAAAATTAGCTGGGCACGGTGGCGCGTGCCTGTAATCCCAGCTACTCAGGAGGCTGAGGCAGGAGAATCACTTGAACCCGGGAGGCAGAGATTGCAGTGAGCTAAGATGGTGCCACTGCACTCCAGCCTGGGAGGCAGAGGAGACTCCATCTCAAAAAAGTAAAAACATGAATTGCCCAGGCTTGTAGTGTCCTCCTGCCTTGGCCTCCTCAAGGGTCCGGATTACAGGTGTGAGGACTTGCAAATCAGAGACCTACATCCTTGCCGTCCTGAATCACCAGGGGGTTTATGGAACACAGATGGGAATTAATTCCATAGGTGTTTATTGGAATGGATTGAGCACCTTGATTATTGCCAGAGCCCGACGTGGGTGGACTGCAGCGAGGGCACTCTCTGGGCTGGGCACGGTGGCTCACCCCTGCAACCCCAGCACTTTGGGAGGCTGAGGTGGGGGGTCAGGAGTTTGAGACCAGCCTGACTAACGAGGCGACGGAACCTGGTCTCTACTAAAAATGCAAACGTTAACCGGGCGTGGTGGTGCGTGCCTGTCATCCCAGCTACTCTGGAGGCCTGAGGCAAGAGAATTGCTTGAACCCGGGAGCTGGAGGTTGCAGTGAGCCGAGATTGTGCCATTTACACTCCAGCCTGGGCGACAAGAGACAAACTTCGTCTTTAAAAAGAAAAAAAAAAAAAAAGGCCGGGCACGGTGGCTCACGCCTGTAATCCCAGCACTTTGGGAGGCTGAGGCGGGCGGATCATGAGGTCAGGAGTTTGAGACCAGCCTGACCAACAAGGTGAAAACCTGTCCCTACTAAAAATACAAAAACAAAACAGAACAAAAGCCGGCTACGGTCCCAGCTACTCAGGAGTCTGAGGCAGGAAAATGGCTTGAACCCGGGAGGTGGAGGCTGCGCTGAGCCAAGATCAGGACACTGCACTCAGGCCTGGACCGCAGAGAGAGACTCAGTCAAAAAAAAAAGAAGAAAGAAAGAAAGAAAGAAAGAAAGAAGAAAGAAGAAAGAAAGAAAGAAAGAAAGAAAAGAAAGAAAGAAAGAAAGAAAGAGGAAGGAAGGAAGGAAGGAAGGAAGGAAGGAAGGAAGGAAGAAAAGAAAAGAAAGAGAAAAAGAAAGAAAGGAAAGAAAGAAAAAAGCGCGCTCTCCCCTCCCCACCGCCCCCCCAGCTCCATCGCGCCCCCATCCCCTTCCCCATCCTGACCCCACAGCCTGGACCAGAACGGCACGTCCTCTGTCGCCACCGCGTGGCCAGTATGGCACATGACACCCTGTCTCGGGAGATTGGCCAAAAGCAGAGACTGAGGTCCCCCGCGAACAAAGGGGCGCACCTGCTCCCCGTTTTCCCGCCGCTCGACAAGCAGTTAGCGCCAGCACGCGGTGGGGGCTCATTAAGTGTTTGCTGATTGGCCGGGCGCCCTGGATCACACCTGTAATCCCGGCACTGTGGGAGGCCCAGGCGGGTGGATCACCTGAGGTCAGGAGTTCGAGACCATCCTGAGCAACATGCAGAAACCCCGTCTCTACTAAAAATACAAAAATAAGCCAGGCGTGGTGGCGCGTGCCTGTAGTCCCAGCTACTCGGGAGGCTGAGGCAGGAGAATCGCTTGAACCCGGGAGGGGGAGGTTGCAATGAGCTGAGATCGTGGCCACTGCACACCAGCCTGGCTGACAGAGTGAGACTCCGTCTCAATAAATAAATAAACAAAATTTAGAAATCTCTACTAAAAGTAAAAAATAAAATAAAAAAGCTGGGAGTGGTGGCGGGCACCTGTAATCCCAGCTACTGGGGAGGCTGAGGCAGGAGAATCGCTTGAACCCGGGAGGGGGAGGTTGCAATGAGCAACGAGAGGGAAGCTCCGTCTCAAAAACAGAAAACAAAAGCAATAAGAAAATTGCTGATGGAATGAATGAATGGCAGAGGACAAAGAAATGTGTTGTTCCTCTGCCCAAAGCCCGCCCACTCGCCCAGGTTAGGGGGTGACAGAGTGACCTGAACACTCCATGTCACCCCGAGACAGTTGTACCACTATCCTTTCCAGGGCGGAACAGGCTCTAGTTTATTGTTTCTTCTTCTTTTTTTCCTCTTTTATTTATTTATATTTGAGACAGTCTCGCTCTGTCACCCAGGCTGGAGTGCAATGGCGCGATCTCGGCTCACCGCAACCTCCGCCTCCTGGGTTCAGGCAATTCTCCTGCCTCAGCCTCCCGAGTAGCTGGGATTACAGGCACGCGCCACCATGCCCAGCTAAGTTTTGTATTTTTGGGTAGAGATGGGGTTTTACCATGCTGGCCAGGCTGGTCTCAAACTCCTGACCTCAGGTGATCCATCTGTCTTGGTCTCCCTAAGTGCCATGATTACAGGCATGAGCCACCGCAGCCATCCTAATATTTTATATTTTAAGTAGAGGTGGGGTGTCTCCATTTTGGCCAGGCTGGTTTTGAACTCCTGTCCTCAGCTGTCCCACCTGCTCCCGCCTCCCCAGATGCTGAGATCACAGACATGAGGCACCGCACCCAGCCACATTCTTCTGACTCTTGCAGTCACGAGGCTGAGTCAGCCCGTTCCAGGTCACACATCGTAGCTTTTGGCCAATCTTTCAAAAAGCCAAAGACAGTGAGTTCTCTGCGTCCCTGGCCAACGGGGAGCAGCTGCACACTGTGAAAGGGCACCGCCCCCTCTGTCGCCCAGGCTCAAGGCATCCTCCTGCCGTAGCCTTCCAAGTAGCTAGGACTACAGGTGCGCACCACCATCCTTGGCTGAGTTTTTTGTGTTTTGTAGAGAATGGGGTCTTACTATGTTGCCCAGGCTGGTCTGAAACTCCTAGGCTCAAGTGATCCTCCCACCTCAGCCGGCTGAGTAGCTGGGGCCACAGGCACACCCCACCATGCCCGGCTGATTTTTAAATTTATTTTTGAACTGGGTGTGGGGGTTCACACCAGTAATCTCAACACTTTGGGAGGCCAAGGAAGGAGGATCACCTAAGTCCAGGAGATCGAGACCAGCATGAGCAACATGGCGAAACCCCGTCTCTACTAAAAATACAAAAACTAGCTGGGCACGGTGGTGTGAGCCTGTTAATCCCAGCTATTCAGAAGGCTAAGGCAGTAGAATCGCTTGAACCCGGGAGGTGGAGGTTGCAGGGAGCCGAGATCGTGCCACTACACTCCAGCCTGGGTAACGGAGTGAGATTTTTCTCTGTCAAAAAACAAACAAACAAAAATATGTACATGTGTATACTTATTTATTTTGTAGAGACGGGCTCTTGCTGTGTTTCCCAGGCTGACCTGCACTCCTGGTCTCAAGTCATCGTCTTGACTAAGCCTCCCAGAATGTCAAGATCACAGGCGTGAGCCACCGTGCCCGGTCTTGTAAACGTTATGTCATAGTATGGGGCTTCTTGGGACTGCCATTTTTGTTTTTTCTTTTTTTGAGACAGTCTCGCTCTGTCACCCAGGCTGGAGTGCAATGGTGCAATCTCGGCTCACTGCAGTGTCAACCTTTGGGTTCAAGTGATCCTCCTGCCTCAGCCTCCCAAGTAGCTGGGATTACAGGCACGTGCCACCACGCCCAGCTATTTTTTGTATTTTTTTTTTTGAGACGGAGTTTCGCTCTTGTTACCCAGGCTGGAGTGCAATGGCGCGATCTCGGCTCACCACAACCTCCGCCTCCTGGGTTCATGCAATTCTCCTGCCTCAGCCTCCCGAGTAGCTGGGATTACAGGCACGCGCCACCATGCCCAGCTAAGTTTTGTATTTTTTGGTAGAGATGGGGTTTTACCATGCTGGCCAGGCTGGTCTCAAACTCCTGACCTCAGGTGATCCATCTGTCTTGGTCTCCCCAAGTGCCATGATTACAGGCATGAGCCACCGCAGCCATCCTAATATTTTATATTTTAAGTAGAGGTGGGGTGTCTCCATTTTGGCCAGGCTGGTTTTGAACTCCTGTCCTCAGCTGTTCCGCCTGCTCCCGCCTCCCCAGATGCTGAGATCACAGACATGAGGCACCGCACCCAGCCACATTCTTCTGACTCTTGCAGTCACGAGGCTGAGTCAGCCCGTTCCAGGTCACACATCGTAGCTTTTGGCCAATCTTTTTTTTTTTTTTTTTTTTTGAGACGGAGTTTCGCTCTTGTTACCCAGGCTGGAGTGCAAGGGCACGATCTCGGCTCACCGCAACCTCCGCCTCCTGGGTTCAGGCAATTCTCCTGCCTCAGCCTCCCGAGTAGCTGGGACTACAGGCACGCACCACCATGCCCAGCTAATTTTTTTTGTATTTTTAGTAGAGACGGGGTTTCACCATGTTGACCAGGATGGTCTCGATCTCTTGACCTCGTGATCCACCCGCCTCGGCCTCCCAAAGTGCTTGGATGACAGGCGTGAGCCACCGCGCCCGGCCGTTTCTTGAAGTTCCAACCCTCGTGAGCACACACAAAAAAACTGAGGCTATTAATTTTATTTCTGACAGCACACAGTTCACCCGTCTAAAGAAGATTCCAGAAACTTGAGCGCGAGGGTGGTGTGGGTGCTTTGCCATCTCCGGAGGTTCTTATACCTAGAAATAAGAATTGGCCCGGGAGGTTAGGAAATTAATATATTCCATGCTTCGTTTATTTTTAATAGCCCACCGTTGTGGGCTCAGGGCCTGGGAGACTGTACACATTGGTGCTGTTCTTGGCGCCCACGAGCAGATGGAAATAAATACTCTAGGTAGGTCATTTTGTAAGACACACAGTTAACACTCTGAAGATGTTTTGTCTTTTTCTCCCTAGAAACAAATGTTCTGGGCAGAAATGAAGCTGTTTCTTGAATGTTTCGGGGTCTCTGTATTAGCTACTGCTGGGTCACAAATTACCTTCAAACCTGGTGTGTGGGGCAGGTTTGGCGGCTCGCAGTAATCCCAGCGCTTTCGGAGGCTGAGACGGGGGAACTGCTTGAGGCCAGGAGTTCGAGTCCAGCCCAGGGGACAGAGCGGGACTCCATCTCTCTATAAAAAAAAAAAAAAAAGACAGAGTGCAGCGGCTCACACCTGTAATCCCAGCGCACTGAGGGGCCGAGGCAGGTACATCACCTGCCATGAGGCGTCTGAGGTCGGCCTGGCCAACATGGTGAAACCCCGCCTCTAACAAAAATACAGAAATTAGCTGGGCATGGTGGTGTCTGCCTGTAGTCCCAGCTACTTGGGAGGTTGAGGCAGAAGAATTGCTTGTACCCGGGAGGCAGAGGTGGCAGTGAGCTGAGAAAGCACCTCTGTACTCCAGCCTGGGCGACAGAGGGAAACTGCCTCAAAAAAAAAAAAAAAAAAAAAACTTGGTGTCTTAAAATAACAATGAACACTTATTTCTCATAGTTTCTGTGGATCAGGGAGTCAGAAGTGACTTGGCTGGGTGGGTCTGGCTCAAGGGTGCTCATGAGTTTGCCATCAAAATGTCAGCCAGGGGCCTGTCACGGTGGCTCACGCCTGTAATCCCAGCACTTTGGGAGGCCGAGGCGGGTGGATCACGAGGTCAAGAGATCGAGACCATCCTGGTCAACATGGTGAAACCCCATCTCTACTAAAAATACAAAAAATTAGCTGGGCACGGTGGTGCGTGCCTGTAGTCCCAGCTACTCGGGAGGCTGAGGCAGGAGAATCACTTGAACTCGGGAGGTGGAGGTTGCGGTGAGCTGAGATCGCGCCATTGCCCTCCAGCCTGGTGACAGCCTGTGACTATGTCTCAAAAAAAAAAAGGTACCCACTTAAACCATGATGTAATAACCCATGACTGCTGATAGGCAAAAATGAGTAACTGTCTCCACTTGTAGCAAACGTTTTTCTTCTTTGGGGCTTTTTCGTTCTGACAGAGTTTCCATCTTGCTGCCTGGCTGGAGTGCGGTGACTCGGTGACTCGATCTTGGGTCACTGCAAGCTCCGTACCCTGGTAGAGACAGGGGTTTCCCCATTTTGGTCAGGCTGGTCTCAAACTTCTCACCTTGGTGATCCACCTGCCTTGGCCTCCCTCCCCAAGTGCTGGGATCACAGGCATGAGCCACCGTGCCCCGCTTGCTTAGGGCTTACAATTTTTTTTTTTTTTTTGAGACGGAGTTTCGCTCTTGTCACCCAGGCTGGAGTGCAATGGCGCGATCTCGGCTCACCGCAACCTCCACCTCCCGGGTTCAGGCAGTTCTCCTGCCTCAGCCTCCCGAGTAGCTGGGATTACAGGCACGCGCCACCATGCCCAGCTAATTTTTTGTATTTTTAGTAGAGACGGGGTTTCACCATGTTGACCAGGATGGTCTCGATCTCTTGACCTCATGATCCACCCGCCTCGGCCTCCCAAAGTGCTGGGATTACAGGCATGAGCCACCGCGCCCAGTCTGGATGTCATTTCTTTGTGACAAAATTGCAACCTTAACAAATCAAACTCAAGTCCCAGGGGCTGCCACCTCCTGTCCCTGGGCCCCTCTGTTTCTGGGCAGTGACAGTGCTGCCTAGTTTTTTCCCATCCGTTTCCTACTCTCACTTTCCTAGAGAGAATAACTGACACCCGGCGGCGTCCCCGAGTCCCCTCTCGGCCGTGTGCCTGCGTGCGTTGCTTTGCCTGTGTAGACAGAGCCAACTCTTTGCTTTTTATGGAACGAGGGCTGAAGCAGAGCCGGCATTTGTGGATGGGAGAAAAAACACGACCGAAACAGACACCAGGGTCCGCCTCGGGAGCGGAGGAAGCTGCAGGCACTCGCGACTGGGCAGGTGGAGGGCGATGGGACATGCCTCTGTGGCCAGACCTGGGAGGAGACATCAGTGGGGAGAATTTGGAGAGGCCCCAGGGATCCCAGAGGAAGGGAGTGTGGGAGAGAGAGGATTGAAAACAGCAGAGAAAACAGGGCAAGTGCATCACCCACATTTAAAAGCAAAATGAGCCGGCCAGGCGCGGTGGCTCACGCCTGTAATCCCAGCACTTTGGGAGGCTGAGATGGGCAGATCACCTGAGATCAGGGGTTCGAGACCAGCCTGGCCAGCGTGGTGAAATCCTGTCTCTACTAAAAATACAAAAAATTAGCTGGGCATGGTGGCGCGTGCCTGTAATCCCAGCTACTCGGGAGGCTGAGGCAGGAGAATTGCCTGAACCCAGGAGGCGGAGGTTGCGGTGAGCCGAGATCGCGCCATTGCACTCCAGCCTGGGTGACAAGAGCAAAACTCCGTCTCAAAAAAAAAGAAAAAAAAAGAAAAAGGAAGTAGCATCTGCATTTGACTTTCAGAATTGATAGAATATATTTCCAAAAAAGGCTGTGGGGAGGGCCCCCGGCGGAGCCTCAGACCTGCTGGGTGGCCTTGGCCTCATCATGTTCCCCTTTGGGTGACCCCACGCCCGGCCTGCAGGTGGGTGGCCCCAGGACGCACTGTGCTTGGCAGGACACTGTCCCCATCTCGACCCCTCTCTCGCCCGCTGCAGCAGTGACCTCCGGGAAGGGCCACCACAGGGACACTGCTCCCTGCTGCGTGGGTTTGGGATTGCGCCGGGGAGCGCCGTTTCTCCATTTCATTGCCTGATTACAGAGGAAATCTGCTTTAAACACGAGGCCTGGAAATATTTCAGTTCCTACCTCAAACCAAGGGTCTCTCCTCTGGGGCGCTATGAACGTTGGGGCCAAGCCATTCTCTGGGCTGGGGCCGTCCGGGGCATTGCAGGGGGCTGAGCAGCGTCCCTGGCCTCCACCCACTCCGTGCCAGGAGCTCTCCCAGTCATGAGGACCCCAGATGTGCCCAGACGTCGCCCAGTGTCCCGTGGGAACAAAATCACCCTCCCCCACGGCCCCACCATTGAGACCCACCACTCTTCTAAAGGCTGAGGGGGCCGGGAGCGGTGGCTCATACCTGTAATCTCAGCACTTTGGGAGGCCAAGGCTGGTGGATCCCTTGAGGTCAGGAGTTCGAGACCAGCCTGACCAACATAGTGAAACCCTGTCTCTTGTATTTTGTAAAAATACAAAAAATTAGTCGGGTTTGGTGTCGGGTGCCTGTAATCCCAACTACTCGGGGGGGCTGAAGCAGGAGAACTGCTTGGACCCGGGAGGCCGAGGTTGCGGTGAGCTGAGACCATTCCACTATACTCCAGCCTGGGCAAGAGTGAGGGTCCGTGTCAAAAATAAAGAAAAAATTAAAACTAAGGGCATTTTGAAACAAAATACAATGTTTCATGCTTTTAAGAATTGACAGTAATTCCTGAATGTCAGTGATGCCCCCCTCCCTTTTTTTTTTTTTTTGAGACGGAGTTTCACTCGTTACCCAGGCTGGAGTGCAATGGCGGGATCTCGGCTCACCACAACCTCCGCCTCCTGGGTTCAGGCAATTCTCCTGCCTCAGCCTCCCGAGTAGCTGGGATTACAGGCACGCGCCACCATGCCCAGCTAATTTTTTTGTATCTTTAGTAGAGACGGGGTTTCACCATGTTGACCAGGATGGTCTCGATCTCTTGACCTCGTGATCCACCCGCCTTGGCCTCCCAAAGTGCTGGGATTACAGGCGTGAGCCACAGTGCCCGGCCTTTTTTTTTTTTTTGACAGAGTCTCACTGTCGCCCAGGCTGGAGGTCAGGGGCGTGATCTCGGCCCACTGCAACCTCCACATCCCAGGTTCAAGCGCTTCTCTTAGCTCAGCCTCCCAAGTGGCTGGGCTTACGAGCTCCCACCACCACGCCTGGCTGATTTTTGAATTTTTAGTAAAGACAGAGTTTGCCACGTTGTCACGGCCTGATGGAGACCAGCCTGGCTAACACAGAGAAACCCCGTCTCTACTAAAACTACAAAAAGTTAGCCGGGGTGGTGGGGCGCCTGTGGTCCCAGCTACTCGGGAGGCTGAGGCAGGGGAATCCCTTGAACGCAGGGGGCGGATTGTGCAGTGAGCCGAGATCGCGCCACAGCAGTCAGCTTGGGTGACGGGGAGACTCCATCTCAAAAACAAGCACACAAAATAACGGAAAGGCTCCTGGGCTGGAGACCCGGTGGCGGGTCTGGGGCTCCCTCTCCCAGGGGGCAGGATGTGTGGGTCAGTGGAGGCTCAGGGAGAGGGAGGGAGAGGAAGAGGGCTTGGGTTCTGAGACACTGGGGATAAGGGGGGTCCCGCCTTGGAGCGTGGCCCGTGAGCACCGGGCTCCGTGCGATGTCCCAGGTCGCGTCTCCTCACTCACTGGGTCTCTCTGGGCCTTCTCTTTGGGTTTCTTAAAGAACGTGTCATGAATTTAAAAGACCCCAGGCCCTGAAAGGATAAGGCTGCCCCTAGAACCCTCTGTGCCAGGCTCTGCACACAGGAGGGCTAACCCCTCGCCTGATGCCATGCCCTGGGGACTCTCTCACCCCCAGAAATACCCAGGAGGGCCGTGGATGGGAATGAAGGCAATTTTCCTTGGCTCCTCAGAGAAAGGGTGGCCCTGGGGGCTGGGGTGGGCTCCTACTCGGAGGGCCTGCGTCCACACACAACTGCAGGTGTCTGAGGGCCCCCTCCACCTCCGGCTGCCAGCTCCCATGGGCCCTGGGAGGACAGGTGCTGTGGTACAGACAGGGCTGTACCCCCCAGCCCCACTGCCGCGCTGCTCACAGGAACAGCTCATCCTCAACCCCGAGGCACATTCCCACTGGACGGGTGGGACAGGTGAGGCCGAGCTGCAGTCTTGTTCCCCCCACCCTTGTAATTCCTCACTCCCCACCTGCAGCCCCAGGCTGGAACGGATCTGCTCACTGGCCAGGTCACTCTGCAGGGTCCCTTGTGCAATCAGGTGGACAGGGGCCTCCAGGCAGGGAACTCTTTTCGCAGTCATGGAGCTCTGAGGTGGGAGTGGCAGGGGTGAGGAGTGGCCCCAGCCCCTGGGAGAGGCGTGAGGTGGGTGGGGACTCAGCCCCTGCCTGCGCCTGCCGTGCCTGCACACAGAGGCACTGCTTCCCCCCGGGATGCAGCCTTGGTGTGTCTTGGAGGCATACAGTAGGTGCTCAGTAAATGCCATGGACTGAAGCCATGGAATGGAGCCTTCCCATGGCCTGGAGCCTGGCCCTTGGGAAACCCCAGGTCAGCGGGCACAGTTGGACACAGAGAGATCCCAGCTTCAATGGGTCAGGATGGGACAGGGGAGGGGGCCGGGCTTGGAGTCCCCAGGAGGGTTGAAGCTCTGCCCAGCGGTTTGGAGAAGCGTGCCTGGAAAAGGGGGTTCAGCAGGGGCCAAGCCTCCCTCCCCGTCCCTCCCGTGTCTCACCTCGCCGCCCCACTCCATGGAGTCAGGGTTGGGCCCATCTTCTCCTGGACCTGAGGCCTCTTTAGGCGTGAAGGGGCCTGAGGGAGGCACAGGCCTTGGTGGGGGGAACCTGGGCCCCAAGCAGCAGGGAGGCACCTGCCACCCACACCCACCCCTGATGTGGAGACAGCAGAACAGGTAGTGGGTGTGTGCAGGTAGCAGGTGTGTGCAAGTGGGCAGGTGTGTGCAGGTAGCAGGTGTGTGCAGGTAACAGGTGTGTGCAGGTGGGCAGGTGTGTGCAGGTAGCAGGTGTGTGCAGGTGGGCAGGTGTGTGCAGGTGGGTGCAGGTGTGTGCAGGTAACAGGTGTGTGCAGGTGGGCAGGTGTGTGCAGGTGGGCAGGTGTGTGCAGGTGGGCAGGTGTGTGCAGGTAGCAGGTGTGTGCAGGTGGGCAGGTGTGTGCAGGTAGCAGGTGTGTGCAGGTAACAGGTGTATGCAGGTGGGCAGGTGTGTGCAGGTGGGCAGGTGTGTGCAGGTAGCAGGTGTGTGCAGGTGGGCAGGTGTGTGCAGGTAGCAGGTGTGTGCAGGTAACAGGTGTGTGCAGGTGGGCAGGTGTGTGCAGGTGGGCAGGTGTGTGCAGGTAGCAGGTGTGTGCAGGTAACAGGTGTGTGCAGGTGGGCAGGTGTGTGCAGGTGGGCAGGTGTGTGCAGGTAGCAGGTGTGTGCAGGTGGGCAGGTGTGTGCAGGTAGCAGGTGTGTGCAGGTAACAGGTGTGTGCAGGTGGGCAGGTGTGTGCAGGTGGGCAGGTGTGTGCAGGTAGCAGGTGTGTGCAGGTGGGCAGGTGTGTGCAGGTGGGCAGGTGTGTGCAGGTATGTGTGTTGGGGTCTGGCACGTCTGCCGGGGGGCTACTGACCTGCGGGAGTCCCCGAGACCGCCAACGTAGATGTCTCGTTCAACCTGAGGGAGAGAGTGCGCGGAAATGAAAGAAAAGAGAAAAGCGGAGTCTGGAGGGCTGGCTTAGGCTATGTCCAAGCAGCAATTTTATTTTTGCAATATGTTTCATTATATACTTTTCTGAAGTCAAAGTTGTTTATGCCAGATCAACGTACTTAAGTTACAGTAAGCAAGTTACGCCCACTAAGTTACGCCCAGTAAGTAGGTTACGCCCAGTAAGTAGGTTACGCCCAATAGGTCAAGGTAAGCAAGTTACAGTCACGCCCTGTAAGTTACGGTAAGTAAGTTACCAAGTGTAAATACTTAATATTTTGCAATGAAGGTAACAAGGGTCCAAAATGAACACAATCCAGCAATAACCCATAAGGAGCCGAAAGTGGACACAGTGCCTCCCAAGTCCTCGTATCCATACAGTAATGTCTGTTAATTATTTTGAATAACATATAGTTCCTCTCTCAGTTCCTGCTTTCCCTCAGCTTGACTCCCCCAACCGGGGATCTGTGTCCAGGCTCAAGCTCACCGTATGGTGAGGCCCATTTCCTAGGGGCCTCACACGGGAGCGATCCCCACAGATTCCCTCAGTTCCCCGTTTTCTTTTAGATGCGACTCCAAAAGCTTGAGCCGCAATTGTTGAAGGGAGAAGGACCATAAGAAGGAGTAAAACCACTCCAATACCAATTAAAGAGGAAAAGGACGGGAGATGAACGCCACGTACCCAGGAACACAAGGTGTCCACAATATCACGGACGATTGTGTCATCCTCAGGCAGGTTTCGACGAGAAAAATCAATGGCATGAATTTCCTGCTGAAGCTTGAAAACATCTAGAGATAAATTGTCATGAGTCCAAATTCCTTGTAAATGGGCCTTAAGAAGAGGCCACCGCCATTTAATGTCATTATAAGGAGTATTAGTAACACAAATATATTTATAATCAGCATGGCAATGAAGGGCCAGGTGTTTTTGAATATTATTAAGTTTATCACCAAGAATAGCAACAGTTTGTTCCAAGGTGTTCAGTTTAGCTTCTAATCCATCATCAATAGACATATGAGTTCCCATAGCAATAGAGACATTTTTTGCCAGGTGATTCACATATACAGCAGTATTAACGGATTTTGAAAGACTAACAGCAGCTGTGGCTGCAGAAGCTACCACAGACACAATGGCAATAATTCCAGCAATGAGCATACCAAGGAAACGTTTTTGACGCCGAAGGAACAGAGATTGGGTAAAGGGAATGTCCCTGCTGACGGACAATGTGTGACACGTCAGCCATTAGGCGTCGCATCTGGGTCCAGGTTGGGACTGGAACTTCTTGCGGAGGTGTCGGCTGGTGCCATGGGTGATGGGCACGGCGGGATGTCGTCCTCCGTAGGCGTAGACGTCGGATTCTCGGGAGAAGGGAGTTCGGTGAAGTCATCTGAGGGCTCGGCCGACGGGGAGATGTCAGTCGAGGAAGAGGGATGGTCACTGGTCTCGGAGAGGAGTGTCGTCTTTGGGGCATGCTTGACGTGTCACTCGGGCACCTAGATAGGTGAGGGGGCAGACCTAGGAAAGACACAAACGTGATCTCTGCCCCAAACCAACACTGTGTGTTCTCTGAAGCTGTTTTTTACTCCGGTTCCGATCCCTTTGTCCCGAGCTCCCCCATTTCCGGCTCCAGGTCTGACTCCGAGAGCAGAATCGGGCTCGTTTCGAGGATTACAAGGTGGTAAATTACAGCCGCGCCCTCCATCATCAGGGCAACATTTGTAAGAGGAGGAAGAGGGATTAGAAGCAAGAGAAGCAGCAGGCAGGCAGACAGCGTGGCACAGCGGCGGCCAAACAGAAAGTAACAGATCTGCCTGCGGGGAAGATTGATGAGTGGCGGCATCTTCCTCAATCTTAGTTCCTATTTTACTCCACGTAGATTCATCTAACGATCCCTCCTCAGGGACCCACGGACACGATACGTAGACAATCTCTAAAAACTTAGAAACACGTTTCATTTTTACATCAGCACCTCTATTTCTTAACATTTGATGCATCAACATTACAAACCCAGACTGATTTCTGGACTCACACTGCTCCATCTTTACTCCAGATGAATTTTGAGTCCAGAACTACAAGAACCACGGTTTTACCTTGTCTCCTCTGATTTGGGGTGCGTCATTGTACCTCTCGTACTCAGGTCCCTGTTTGGGCGCCAGATGTCGGGGTCCGGCATGTCTGCCGGGGGGCTACTGACCTGCGGGAGTCCCCGAGACCGCCAATGTAGATGTCTCGTTCAACCTGAGGGAGAGAGTGTGCAGAAGTGAAAGAAAAGAGAAAAGTGGAGTCTGGAGGGCTGGCTTAGGCTATGTCCAAGCAGCAGTTTTATTTTTGCAATATGTTTCCTTATATACTTTTCTGAAGTCAAAGTTGTTTACGCCAGATCAACATACTTAAGTTACAGTAAGCAGGTTACACCCACTAAGTTACGCCCAGTAAGTAAGTTACGCCCACTAAGTTACGCCCAGTAAGTAAGTTAAGCCCAGTAAGTCAGTTACGCCCAATAGGTCAAGGTAAGCAAGTTACAGTCACACCCAGTAAGTTACGGTAAGTTACCAAGTGTAAATACTTGAGTTAATATTTTGCAATGAAGGTAACAAGGGTCCAAAAAGAACACAATCCAGCAATAACCCATAAGGAGCCGAAAGTGGACACAGTGCCTCCCAAGTCCTCATATCCATACAGTAATGTCTGTTAACTATTTTGAATAACATATAGTTCCTCTCTCGGTTCCTGCTTTCCCTCAGCTCAACTCCCCCAACCAGGGATCTGTATCTGGGCTCAAGCTCACCTTATGGTGAGGCCCATTTCCCAGGGGCCTCACATGGGAGTGATCCCCACAGATTCCCTCATATGTGCAGGTAGCTGGTGTGTGCAGGTGGGCAGGTGTGTGCAGGTAGCAGGTGTGTGCAGGTGGGCAGGTGTGTGCAGGTAGCAGGTGTGTGCAGGTGGGCAGGTATGTGCAGGTAGCAGGTGTGTGCAGGTGGGGAGGTGTGTGCAGGTAGCAGGTGTGTGCAGGTAGCAGGTGTGTGCAGGTGGCAGGTGTGTGCAGGTAGCAGGTGTGTGCAGGTGGGCAAGTGTGTGCAGGTGGCAGGTGTGTGCAGGTGGGCAGGTGTGTGCAGGTAGCAGGTGTGTGCAGGTGGGCAGGTGTGTGCAGGTGGGCAGGTGTGTGCAGGTAGCAGGTGTCAGGCAGGCGTGAGCACGGTGGTACTTACAGGGTGGCCGGCACTGGGTGAGCAGCAGCTGGCCCACCTTCCGGAAGATCCTGCCCAGAGGCGGGGCTGCAGTGAAGATGGGGGGACTGTGGCAGGAGTAGGCTGGCAGCCGGTCTGGAGTGAAACCCTTTGGATGGGGGATTTGAGGTCACCCTCGGCTTAGGTCGCCCAGCCCCTGAGGAGCTGGGTTGCCTGCGGGGAAGCCTGGCTTCACCTCAGCAGGGCAGGCTCTGGCACATCCCACGCTGCGGACCCCACGCCGGGGACCGCGCCCACCTGTGTGAAGAAGTCGTCCTGCAGCAGGTGGTCCAGGCTGGGCCGCTCAGCCGGGTTGGGTGCCAGGAGGCGGGCGATGAGGCGGCGTGCATTGGGGGACAGGTGAGCGGGTTCAGGGTAGTGGCCCTCGCGGATGTTTTGGTACATCTCAGACAGGGGTGAGGCCATGAAGGGCGGGGCGCCAGTCAGAACCGTGTACCTGGGCCAGGTGGGGGCAAGAACCTGGCGTCCAGGCATCGCTCACAGCTACCCCTGCTCCATCGGCGAGACCAGCCACACAGGCCGTCTGTACGTACTGACTCTGCTTCCCCACCCCCCAGTCCGCCTGTTCACATCGTATCTGCTTCCCCACCTCCCAACATCCACCTGCACCTGGCAGGTGGACCCTGCTTGGAGGACACCAGTGTCTGTCTGTCCCCTATCTGCACCTGGCTCGCCCTGCACTCAGCTGCATACACCTTTCCAATTCTTCTAATTTTTTCTCTAAAGACGGGGTCATGTTCTGTCACCCAGCCTGGAGTGCAGTAGTGTGATCACAGCTCGCTGCAGCCTCTGCCTCCTGAGCTCGAGTGATCCTCCTACCTCAGCCTCCTGAGTGGCTGAGACTACAGGTGCACACCACCACTCCTGGCTAATTTTTGTAGAGACAGGGTCTCGTCAACTTGGCCCAGCTGGTCTTGAACTCCTGGGCTCAAGCTGTCCTCCTGCCTCAGCTTCCCAAAGCTCTAGGATTACAGGCGTGAGTCACTGTGCCCAGCCTCCACCTTCCAATGCCATCACATGCCTGCTCCCACCTGCCCTGCTCCCACACACGCCCCATCCCTGTGTCCACACGCCCTGACCTGCCTGTGCACAGCCACCTGCCCACACGTGTCCACGTCTCTGTGCACACCCTCCCCGTCCTCCCTCACACATGCATCCCCACACGTCCTGTTCATACTGCACACTTGGTGGAGACAGGTCCCTGTTCTGCCCGCCCCACTCTGCACTTGTCCCCAGCTGTTCCGTGCGGGCTCCCACCTGCAGAACCTGCCCACCTGGAGGCCCTGCCCGCCTTTCCCAGGACCCCACTCACATGATGCAGCCCAGAGCCCAGATGTCCGACTGGCGGGAGTGACCATTTCTGGAGACTACCTCTGGGGCCAGGAAGTTAGGGGTCCCACAGAGCACTCTAGGAGGGGCATCATGGGGGGCTCAGGAAGGCTGGGATCCCCGTGCCAGACTTCAGGGCCAGCCGCACCCACCTGGACAGACTGCCCAGAGCCCCCTGCTCTCACCCGTGGCAGCGGCCCCCTGGCCCCACCTTGGCAGCCAGCCCCAGGTCTCCGATCTTCACCTCCATGTTCTTGTTCAGGAAGAAGTTACCTGCCAGGGGGAGGGGCAGCATGTATGGGGGCAGATCCGCACCCACCTCCTGACGCCCCTGCCCACAGGTCCCCTTCTGGGCACTCACTGAGCTTCAGGTCTCGGTGCACGATGCATCGCTGGTGCAGGTAGCGCAGGCCGCTGATCAGCCCCCGTAGGTAGTAGCGCACCTCCGGCTCCGTCAGCGTCTGCCGTGCCCTCAGCACGTGGGCCAAAGACTGCAGGTGACCGGCAGGTGGCAGTTCCGGTGCCCAGTGGCCCCGGGTTAGAAGGCAAAGGTAAGCTCAACCTGGCCAAGGTGGCATGGCTGATTATGGCACGAGCACAGGTGAGTTCAGACGAACCCCAATAGGAGCCCAGGTGGCCACTGAGGGAGGCATGCACCTTCCCCCATGGGCACAGCCGCATGGCTCCTGTCCCGCATGTGGCACCACCTTGAGGGTGAACATGGCACTGCTTGACGTGCCCGTCAGTTTGGGAAGGGCCACGTGATCAGCAGGGAAAAGAGAGGGGGCACATTCTGGCCCAGGTGGGCCCAGGTGTGCTCAGGTATAATGAAGAGGGCACAGTGAGTTCAAGGCATGACTGGTTTCAACCAGGCCAAGGTGGGTACAGCTGAGTGTAGGAGGGGTGCAGGTAACCACAGGTAGGCACAGGGCAAGCTGGGGGTACAGGTGGGCACGGGTGAGTCCAAGGGGGGCAAGAAGAAGCAAATACATTCTGATGGGCCCAGGCAGTCACAGGTGAGTCCAAGATGGGCCTGCTGAGTACAGCATAAGCGGGGCCCAGGTGTGCCCAGGTGAGTAAAGGATGGGCACAAATAGCCCTATGTGGGCATGGGAAGTGCTGGTGACTGGGCACCAGCAGAGGGCACATGGGATGGTACAGAGGGTAGCAGCGAGGTGCAGATGGACACGGGGTGGATACAGACGGGCACAGCTGACATGAATGCCGCCCTCTTCCCCGCCCCGGGCACCTGGCGGCTGCAGTACTCCAGCACCATGTACACGTGGTCGCGGTCAGCGAAGTGTCCGTGGAAAGCCACAATGTTGCGGTGGCGCAGGCGGCTGTGCAGGGCAATCTCGCGCTCCACCTGCAGGCACGGCCCGGACACGGACCCGCTGCAGGGGGCACCGGCTGCAGGAGGCTCCCCTGCCGCGTGTACCCTCACCCAGGTCTGGGACAAAAGGGCAGGGCCTTTGTCGGGACACGCTGCGGGGTGCGGCGCTGGCTCCGATGGGGACACCCACCTTTCCCCGTGGGCGAAGCCGCCCGGCCCCGGCCCCGCCACGCGGCACCACCTTGAGGGCGAACATGGCACCGGTGGACATGTCGGTCAGCTTGTAGCAGCGGCTGAAGGCGCCCTATGGGGAGGGGTTAGCCGGATCAGCGGGCAGGGGCGCACGTCTGTGCAAGCTGGCAGCGTGTGTGGAGGCACAGGGCAGCCAGGGACGCAGCTGTAGCCAGATCTTCTCACACACACACACACACACACACACACACACACAGACACTGGACAAAACACACAGCTTCCTCCCTCCTGCCTGGACACACAAGACATGACACAAGAAGGCAGAGACACAGACATAGACACATCCACGCCTGGTGCAAACACCCAGACACACAACACAGCACCACAGAAACACACGAACACAACACCCAGACACAACACAGAAACACGCGAACACAACACCCAGACAACACAGCAACACATGAACACAACACCCAGACACAACACAGCAACACATGAACACAACACCCAGACACAACACAGCAACACACGAACACAACACCCAGACACAACAAAGAAACACGCGAACACAACACCCAGACACAACACAGAAACACGCGAACACAACACCCAGACACAACACAGAAACACACGAACACAACACCCAGACACACAACACAGAAACACATGAACACAACACCCAGAGACAACACAGAAACACGCAAACACAACACCCAGACACAATACAGAAACACACGAACACAACACCCAGACACAACACAGAAACACACGAACACAACACCCAGACACAACACAGAAACACATGAACACAACACCCAGACACAACACAGAAACACGCAAACACAACACCCAGACACAACACAGAAACACACGAACACAACACCCAGACACAACACAGAAACACACGAACACAACACCCAGACACACAACACAGAAACACACGAACACAACACCCAGAGATAACACAGAAACACGCGAACACAACACCCAGACACAACACAGAAACACACGAACACAACACCCAGACACAACACAGAAACACACGAACACAACACCCAGACACAACACAGAAACACACGAACACAACACCCAGACACAACACAGAAACACACGAACACAACACCCAGACACACAACACACAACACAAACACACGAACACAACACCCAGACACACAACACACAACACAAACACACGAACACAACACCCAGACACAACACAGAAACACACGAACACAACACCAGACACACAACACAGAAACACGCAAACACAACACCCAGACACAGAACACAGAAACACACGAACACAACACCCAGAGATAACACAGAAACACGCGAACACAACACCCAGACACAACACAGAAACACATGAACACAACACCCAGAGACAACACAGAAACACGCAAACACAACACCCAGACACAACACAGAAACACACGAACACAACACCCAGACACAACACAGAAACACACGAACACAACACCCAGACACAACACAGAAACACACGAACACAACACCCAGACACAACACAGAAACACATGAACACAACACCCAGACACAACACAGAAACACATGAACACAACACCCAGACACAACACAGAAACACACGAACACAACACCCAGAGATAACACAGAAACACGCGAACACAACACCCAGACACAACACAGAAACACATGAACACAACACCCAGAGACAACACAGAAACACGCAAACACAACACCCAGACACAACACAGAAACACACGAACACAACACCCAGACACAACACAGAAACACACGAACACAACACCCAGACACACAACACAGAAACACACGAACACAACACCCAGACACAACACAGAAACACATGAACACAACACCCAGAGACAACACAGAAACACGCAAACACAACACCCAGACACAACACAGAAACACACGAACACAACACCCAGACACAACACAGAAACACACGAACACAACACCCAGACACAACACAGAAACACACGAACACAACACCCAGACACAACACAGAAACACACGAACACAACACCCAGACACAACACAGAAACACACGAACACAACACCCAGACACACAACACACAACACAAACACACGAACACAACACCCAGACACAACACAGAAACACACGAACACAACACCCAGACACACAACACAGAAACACACGAACACAACACCCAGACACACAACACAGAAACACACAAACACAACACCCAGACACACAACACAGAAACACACGAACACAACACCCAGACACACAACACAGAAACACGCAAACACAACACCCAGACACAGAACACAGAAACACGCAAACACAACACCCAGACACAACACAGAAACACATGAACACAACACCCAGACACAACACAGAAACACACGAACACAACACCCAGAGACAACACAGAAACACATGAACACAACACCCAGACACAACACAGAAACACACGAACACAACACCCAGACAGACAACACAGAAACACACGAACACAACACCCAGACACACAACACAGAAACACACAAACACAACACCCAGACACACAACACAGAAACACACGAACACAACACCCAGACACACAACACAGAAACACGCAAACACAACACCCAGACACAGAACACAGAAACACGCAAACACAACACCCAGACACAACACAGAAACACATGAACACAACACCCAGACACAACACAGAAACACACGAACACAACACCCAGACACACAACACAGAAACACATGAACACAACACCCAGACACAACACAGCAACACATGAACACAACACCCAGACACACAACAAACACACGAACACAACACCCAGACACAGTCCTCATGGATGGTCACACGACACCCAATATACAAACACATGAACTCACAACACCCAGACACACAACACAACGACTGGACACACAAAGGCACGACGCACAAACACAACAGGTGAACAACACAGCACCCAGACACCCAGACACACGAACGCCCCGCGGCACCCAGAGGCTTGGACGCAGGGGACACAGCACCGCTCGCACCCGCACCCGCACCGAGAGGCGACACAGCGTCCCCTCCCGAGAGGCCGAGCCGCAGGCCCACGCCCCGGACACGCGACCCACGGGCACGCCGCACAACGCGCCCAACGCGGTTCCCGCCACGCGAAACCCCGCACGGGAGGCCCCGCGGCCCCGGACGCGCGCCCGCGCCAGACCCCGCGCTCACAGGGACGCACCGGATCGCCCGCGCCCCCCAGGACCTCCCCGGGACCCCCGCCCAGCCCGGCCCGGCCCTGCCCTGCCCTCCCGCGGACTCGGGGCGCGGGGCCCCCACCGTGCCGATCAGCTTCCCGCGCCTGTACACGCGGCCCGAGCCCGGGTCTCGCAGGAAAGCGGCGACCAGGGGGCGGCTCCTGCGCCGCCGCGGCCCCGGCTCCATCGCGCGGGCTCTGGCGCAGCCGGCAGGGACCACCGCTCCGGGGCGCTCGGGGGCCGCTCTGGGGGCGCGCGTCGCCGGGGCGCGTCTTATTGGCCACGGGGCTGGGGAGGGGGCGGAGCCCGGGCGCGGGGCCGGCCCGCGGGTGGGGCGAGTGCCCGGTGCGTTGGGGGCGCGTGGGCGGCGGGGACGCCGTGGCTCGGGAAGTTCCAGGGACCAGAGCGCGCCCTAGTCCCGCGCGCCAACCGGGTGCCGGGGCCCGCGCTGAGCGCGTGAGCTCCTCCAACCTGCACCTCCGGGCTGGCTGGGAGCCGCTGATGCGCTCGCATTACTGAGCGGGAAACTGAGGCTCTCTCGCGGGTGGGGGGGTTTGGGGGCTTCGGGGGTCCTCTCCCCCAAAGCGCGCTGGAGGTATGAGCCTCGTGGTTCTGAACGTGTGCCATTTCGGGGCCTCCGGGCTGGTGGGTGTCTGGGGCCCACGTGAAAACGTGGGGCTTGACCGCCTCGGGCACTCGGGAGGCACAGCAGAATTCGGAGCGGTAGAGAAGCCCAGCGTCTGTGTGCTGGTGCTGGTGGGAAGGGCGGTGAGGACTGGGGCAGGGACCCAGGAGGCAGGACCGGGACTTGGGGACCCGGGGGCTGGGGTCCGGCAGGGGTAGTGGGTGTCCTATATGAGGAGCTTCAGCAGGGGGAAGGGATGGGCTGCGTGGAGCGACAGGTGGACCCTGGGGTTTGTGACTCCTGCACCTACAGCCAGATGGGGACGTCCCTGAAATGGGGACCTCAGAGATGCAGCTGGATGGGAAGGGAGGGGGCGACTCCGAGCCCTGCCCCAGACTCGGGTGCACCCCTTCCCTGGTGAGCTCTCCCCTCACCCTTCCACCCGGCCTGGGAGACAAGAGCAGGCCTTGTCCCCATTGGACAGGTGAGAAGTTGAGACTCAGGGACTTGAAGTCACTCAAGTCAGCCCAGGAAAGGGCAGCGCTGGGTTTGAATCCCGGTAGCCGCTCCTGGATGCCGCCTTATTAATCCCAAAATGTTACATAACACCCGGAATGGGAAGGGATTAGCAGGGCTCTGTGGGACTGGAATTTTCCAGGGACCAGATTTCGAAATCTGGCCCGGCCACACCACTAGGGACAGGAAACACCTCCTGAGCTGTCACATGTCCACCTGGTGTCACCTACAGGACCCGGCGCATTGGATGGGGCAGAGTTCGGGCACCTTTGCAGGGATTCTCCTCCCAGTGCCAGGGTGGAATCTTCCTCTGTGGGGCAACCTGGCTGCAGCTGGGGAGCCCAAGTCCCCTGCTGAGAATCAGGTGAGGCAGCACAAGGTGGGCAGCTGGGAGCCCGAGTGTCTGAGCAGTCACACGGCTGTCACCCTGGAATCTTCCAGGGACAGAAAGCCAGCTCCTTCTTATTTCTTTCTTTCTTTTTTTGAGACAGAGTCTTGCTCTGTTGCCCAGGCTGGAGTGCAGTGCTGTGATCTCGGCTCACTGCAACCTCCACCTCCTGGGTTCAAGCGATTCTCCTGCCTCAGCTTCCTGAACAGCTGAGACTACAGGTATGAGCCACAACACTGGGCTATTTTTTATTTTTTGTATTTATTTATTTATTTATTTTTGAGATGGGAGTTTCGCTCTTGTCACCCAGGCTGGAGGGCAATGGCGCGATCTCGGCTCACCGCAACCTCCGCCTCCTGGGTTCAGGCAATTCTCCTGCCTCAGCCTCCCGAGTAGCTGGGATTACAGGCACGCGCCACCATGCCCGGCTAATATTTTGTATTTTTAGTAGAGACGGGGTTTCACCATGTTGACCAGGATGGTCTCGATCTCTTGACCTCGTGACCCACCCGCCTCGGCCTCCCAAAATGCTGGGATTACGGGCGTGAGCCACTGTACTTGGCTTCCAGTTCCTTCTGGATAAAACCCGTCCGTCCTGGCATCAGTTCAGGCCTCTGTTAAGCACCCACCGCATATGGGCCTGAGTCAGGCTGTGCCAGCCCAGGACAGACCCAGTCCTGCCCTCGTAAAAGGACCCCAGCTTAAGGGACTGCAAGAATGTCCAAGACTTAACCGAGTCGGGGTCAGGGAGAGCTCTGGAGGTGGAAGGGAGTGAGCCAGGTCCATTCTGGGCAGTAACTGGTCCCTGAGGCCAGCGCCGTTCTTGGCCCTGTGTTACAGACGAGGAACTGAGGCTCCAGGCTCCAAGAGTCCAGTGTGCCAGCCCGGGATCACTGCATGCTGCGTGTGGCTGAGCCTGGAATCTAGGTGGGAGTGATCAAGAGGTCCTGGTTCCCCCCACAATAGGTCTGTCCCTCCTCCAGGCTCCCAGCCGTCCCAGGGAGCCGTGCCAGGCAGCGCCCTCGTGCTGGGGAGGGCATCTGAGCTTCCTCGGGGGGAAAGAAATCAGACTTCCTGGCCTGGAGCCTCACAGCCTGCCTGTCAGCTGATGCTCCTTGCACGGGGAACAGCTCACCCTCCCTCTCCCCTGGCCACCCGCTGCTTTTCCTGGCTGACACTCCGCTTGGGAGCTGGGAAAGGCCTCCTGCTCCCAGCCTGTGCCCCTCTTAGCAGGGACCCTGTCCGCCAGCCTATGTGAGCCCCCCTAACCAGGTGGCCATGGCCCCTGCCCTGCCCCAGGCTCCCTACATACCCCAGCCTGGCCCCTGGGGAGTTTCGGGGTGCGAAGGGTGAATGCCCTCCAAGACACCCCTCGGCTCTCCCTGGGGGATGGGGGGACTGCTGATGGGTACCAGGATCCTTTTGGGGTGATGAAAATGTTTTAGAATTAGACAGAATGTTGGTTGCTCAACACTAGTAAATGCCACTGAATTGGGCTCTTTTTAAAAGGGTAAATTTTATGTTATGTGAATTTCCCCCCAAAGGTTAAAAAAAAAGCTGGTGGGGAGAGGGATTGGCTGGGCGCGGTGGCTCAGGCCTGTAATCCCAGCACTTTGGGAGGCTGAGGTGGGCAGATCATCTCAGGTCGGGAGTTCGGGACCAGCCTGGCCAACATGGAGAAACCCCGTTTCTACTAAAAATACAAAAACTGGTTAGGCGTGGAGGTGCAAGACAGTGGCCCCAGCTACTCAGGAGGCTGAGGCAGGAGAATCACTTGAACTCGGGATGCAGAGATTGCAGTGAGCCAAGTGCACTCCAACCTTGGTGACAGAGTGAGACTCCCTCTCAAAAACAGGGTAAAAAGAAGGGAACCATTGGGAGGCTGAGGCGGGTGGATCACGAGGTCAAGAGATCGAGACCATCCTGCTCAACATGGTGAAACCCCGTCTCTACTAAAAATATAAAAATTAACCGGGCATGGTGGCCCGTGCCTGTAATCCCAGCTACTCAGGAGGCTGAGGCAGGAGAATTGCCTGAACCCAGGAGGTGGAGGTTGCGGTGAGCCGAGATCGCGCCATTGCACTCCAGCCTGGGTAACAAGAGCGAAACTCCGTCTCAAAAAAAAAAAAAAGAAAGAAAAATGCAGATATTCATAGCAACATGATTCACAGTAGCCGAAAGGTGGAGACCGCCCAAATAGCCATCGACAGGTAAGACGAGGAACACAACGTGGCCCTTTTGTACGACGGAATTGTATGCGGCCTTGGAAAGGGAGGGAACGCTGACACGGGACCTCACGCCCAGTAATGGAAGCCAGTCTCACCATAGGAGAAATCTTGTGTGTTTGTTTTTTCTTTTTGCTTCTGGTTCTGGGTATTTTTTTTTTTTTTTTTTTTTTGAGATGGAGTCTCAGTGTCTCACCCAGGCTGGAATGCAGTGGCAAAGTCTCAGCTCACTGCAACCTCCACCCCCGGGCTCAAGCGATTCTCCTGCCTCAGCCTCCCGAGTAGCTGGGATTACAGGCACGCGCCACCACCATACCCAGCTAATTTTTATATTTTTAGTAGAGATGGGGCTTCACCATGTTGGCCAGGATGGTCTCGATCTCTTGACCTTGTGATCCACCCGCCTCGGCCTCCCAAAGTGCTGGGATTACAGGCATGCTCCACCATACACAGCTAATTTTTGTATTTTTAGTAGAGACGAGGTTTCACCATGTTGACCAGGATGGTCTTGATCTCTTGACCTTGTGATCTACCCGCCCTGGCCTCTTAAAGTGCTGGGATGACAGGCATGAGCCACCGCGCCCGGCCTTTGTTTGTTTTTTGAGACGGAGTCTTGCTCTGTCTATCCCCCAGGCTGGAGTGAGGTGGCATGATCTCGGCTCACTGCAACCTCCACCTCCCGGGTTCAAGTGATTCTCCTGCCTCAGCCTACCGCGTAGCTGGCATTGCAGGCATCTGCCACCACATCCAGCGAATTTTTGCATTTTTAGGAGACACGGGGTTTCACCATGTTGCCCAGGCTGCTCTTGAACTCATGACCTCACACGATCCACCCGCCTCCGCCTCCCAAAGTGCTGGGATTACAGGTGTGCACCACCGCGCCCGGCCAAGAAATCCTGTGTGATTCCACTCCTCAGAGGTCCTTAGCATCCTCAGTCACAGAGACAGAAAGTAGGATGGGGGCTGCCAGGGGCTGGGGACTGGGATGGGAGTGAGTGTTTCATGGGGACAGAGTTTCAGTTTTTGAAGATGAGAAAGTTCTGGCCGCGTGTGGTGGCTCCTGCCTGTAATCCCAGAATGTTGGGAGGCTGAGGCAGGAGGATCGCTTTAGCCCAGGAGTTGGAGATCAGCTTGGGCAGCATAGCAAGCCCTGGTCTCAACAAAAATTAAAAAATTAGCCGGTATAGTGGTGCACACCTGTAGTCCTAGCTACTGGGAGGCCAAGGGAACTACGACTGTGCCACTGGACTCCAGTCTGGGTGACAAAGGGAGGGGAAACCCTGTCTCTGAAAAGCAAAAATAGAAAGTTCTGGAGAGGGGTGGCGCTTATGGATGCTTATGCAATAATGTGCCTGTAATGTGAGTACGGTGATAAACTGTATGTTAGGCACATAGGACTATAATTCTTTTTATTTTTACTTTTTCAGACAGTCTCACTCTATTGCCCAGGCTGGAGTGCAGTGGCGCGATCTCGGCTCACTACAACCTCCGCCTCCCGGGTTCAAATGATTCTCC